ACACCCCCAGCAACATGCAATCCAGTTCAAGGACAAATAAGGATATTAAAGTAAATGTGCAGCAACGATACTGGGTTATTGAAGATGTCTCTTCTAGGGGAGTTGGGGCTCCTCCTCCTCCCAGTGAGTCTCTGCTGATAACTGCATGTAAGAAGTGAGTTCAAGCTAGGACCGGGGCCTCACCTGTGCTGTCTGGCCAGCACACCTGTCCTGAGCAGAGCTCCCCGCCCAGCTATTGTGAACCACGCACAGCACCAATGAGAGAAAGGAACACAGGAGAAGCATTAGATTGGATCTTCCAGAAGGTCTTTGTTGCAATTTTCTCCATCATTAAAAAAAAAATACATCATCAAATAAAGACAATAGCAGCACAGCTTATTGAAATGACACAAGCCAATTTGCTTTTGTACTTTTCCTAAGAACATTATGAAATCCCCCCAACACACATTATCTGTAAAATGCCTCTTTTTTTTTTAAGCACCATGAAATCCTACAAAGAGAAAACAGGTAAAACTCCACACATAGGTTTATCATCATTCATCACTGGGTCCCCTGCCTGCGACTCTCGACTGGGGTGGGAAAGGGGCTGGGGCTGGCACACTGGGTAGTTTGCATATCACTTCTAGGCACCACCGCTGCACCTCCTCCCTTGGAGCTCAGAACCCTGGTGGAGAAGGAGAGGTTTTGAAGTTATCCTCTGCAGCACAGGCCCACTGGCTCCTGGGGGCAGGAGTCCTGTGAAGGAATTTTTGTTGTTGTTTTCCAATGCATGGGGAACTATTTGAGATTTTTTACTTAAGAACCAAGAACCCAAAGGAGATTCTAAATCTCTGGCACCTGTGAAAATGAAATCATTCTCACTAAAACCAGACACGTCTCTCATTTCTTCTGCATGCCCCTGTATTGATGTCTGTGACCACAGACTGTCTTGGAAGGGCCCAGGTTTACATGGAGCATGGTCAGGTCTGCCAAGAATGCCAGCTATCACACAGGGCAGGGTGCACAGGAGCCATATAACCAGCATGCTATTTCAAAGTTTCCACATTGCAGAATTAACATGCCAAATTAGGGTGACTTTTGCTTCAGAGAATTGCGTTTTTCTTTTAAAGGCCGTTACTAACTAGCCCTTAAGCTTCCTCTGCTCATTCAGCCACTGGCTTTGCACTCCACAGCATCATAACAGTGAGGAAGAAAACCCCCACTAAAAATCTTGGCAGAACACAAGAAGCAGGGATGTGGGGGTGCAATGTAGACATTCTGCCTTTCTTCTCTTAGAGGGCTCTGCGTGTTTGTCGTCCTGTACCCTCCCTGTGGTCCCTGAACTGTGATACACATGGGGTGCTTCACATTCTTACCTGATCCAGCAAGTCCAAACCTGCCCCACCCACACCCTGGCCCTCCACATGGTCACTGATTCCCTAAACAAGCAGGCAGACATGTGGCCTTCACTTAGCCAGGAAATGACATCATCTCAGAGGGAGACCAGGGGGCGGGTTGATAATGTTTAGCACAACGAAGACTTTCAACATGGAATAGTCCCCACAGAACTCAAAATAGCCATTTCCTGTGTGTGTGTGTGTGTGTGTGTATAAGAGAGAGAGAGACATGAAAGTACATGAATTCATGAAGTAATCAAAGGGATAATTTTAGTACAACTGTCTGCAAATAGCAAGGCTTAAAATTCTTTAACTAGTCTTAACACCATGCAAAAAATGCCCGTGTAGCATATAACCCCCCCCCCCACCCCGCCGCCCCCGGGTGACAGTGTGCCACTGAGCTATAGGGGAAGGTAGAGAGATACTACACAGGGCATAATCTAAATTTGGACACCAGTCTCTGAAATACATCTGGTCTCCATCTATCACCCAGAAAACACAATCCAAAAGGGCAGGAGACTAAGTTCTCACCTTCCCTTAGAATGGATGAGACCATTAGTCAGTATTCATAAATCCAACTCGCAACTTTCTTAATTGGCTCACAGACGGGGTGTGGGGGGGGGGATGTTTTGTGAGAGAACTGCAGAACAAAAAGGGCCCTTGATGACTGTCTGCGCCCCACTCCCCTGAGGTGCCGATGTGGTACAGGAACTGATGTGCCCACAGTGACAGGCTGTGTTGTGGAGCACAGTAGTCCCAGGCACCCCATACACTATACAACCCTACCCCAAAATGGCACCTTTCTGAAATCACTACTGGGCTAGGACCAAATATCAAGTTGCATTGGTCTCCCCAAACTGTCCCTTGGCTCTCAGCAGTAAACCGCCACATAAGTTTTGAAGGAAACACTGAGTACCCAAGTGCCATGTCAGCTGAGAAACACGGCCACCCACTGAAGATGCCAAACATGCTCTTCCCGTGTACAAGGTGAAGGTGTTGATTAGGGGTTTGTGGTGGGGCAGGGGTGCAGACTGAAGGGCCCGTGGTGCCGATGCACCGTACAGAACATGTGGCAGGTTTGCACTATGGCGTGTGCTCCATGGGCTATCCAGCCCCATCTCAAGAAAGGTAACATTCAAGTAACTTCTAGATCACTGACTCCTCAAATCTTAATGGGAGGAATCCAACCTCTTATTCCCTCTGACCTGCTCCTTTGAGAACAGAGTTTTCCAAACATGCCCATGGGAATTTAATGGATCAATCTCCACAGAGGTGGTCTCTGGGGTGATTTGGCAGGGCCTGGTACCCATCGTACACAGGGAAGGGGTTCTATCAAAGGTTCCCAGGCTCCCAACTCAAGGCAATTTTTGATTTTCTGTGTTGCTGAGATTGGACTCTTTGGGGAAGCATCTATGCACATGCCAACACACGCACCTGTTCCATTTGGTAGAGCATGCAGCTTGGTGCTTTGAACTGTTTTATTCCTGCTGTATGCGGGGTTCCTGCAAAGTAGGCAAATAAAGTGCAAAGAGTACCTTCAAAGGGCATCTGTGACAGTACAGAAAAAGTGCCATATACAGTATTTTCAAAACCAAACCATAACAGCGCACAGTAGGTGTCTTCAAGGGCAACCCTTTAGGCCTTTTGTGTAAAACACAAAGACCTCATGCCCTCTCAGGGGTAAAGATTATTCCACCTCTTCCCCTCATCTCTGTAAACTGTGTTCATGAGACTTGAAGAATACATGTATACACAAACACACACACACAACACACACACATACTCACAAGAGTGCACAAAAGACATTGTAGCAAAGTTGAAAGCAGACTTTGGTCATACTTTTGAATACCAGCTCTACTGCCTTCTTGCTGTGTGCCCTTGGGTAAGTTACTTAGCTTTCCTGAGCCTCCATGTCCTCATGTATAATGGTTTGCAAATACTTCATGTGTGGTGTAGTGAAGTTTCAGTAAGCTAACATCCATAAAGTGCCTGATTCAGTATCTGGCCCACAGAAGACACGGGATAAATGACAGGGGGGAGCCTCTTTGCCAGATCTGGCTGTAGGGCCTGAAATTTTAACACACAAAGAGGTACCGAGGTACTATGGGGTAGAAACCCAAATAAATGAGATCCATGGGTAGGTTGATTGGAAAACATAAACTTGTCAGAATAAGGAAGTTCCAGTTATCTGCCAACTCCTTATAGCACACTGGGCCTGGCTGGACTGAGTCCCATGGTAAAAACCACATCCACACCTGCACACACACAGATCCCTGAGCATCTGCTCAGTACCATGAGAACAGTAAAGGTCTCCCCATCGATGATCCTTATTTGGCTCTTTCTCAAAAGCAATGCCAGAACTTTAACTAGAGCCTAAAGGTTTGGGGCTGGGCCAGGGGGACTGTGTGTGCTGCAGGCAGGGAGAGCCGTGCACGTGTGGGAAAGAGGCAGGGATGGATCTTCAGTGGTACCGACAGTCAAGACTGCCCTGGGCATGATTTTCCCCTGAAAGTCGGAAGTGCTAGACGGTTTCTGTACGTCTCCATTTGTGTCGAGTGATCATTTGGAAAGTCCACTTTGTGGAGTAGTTATATAAAATCCCATTAAAAAACCCCCAAGGGTGTCACTGTGCCTGGAAGGCTCACGACCAGCAACTTCCTGAAGTTTTCCAGGCCCACGTGTGGCCCAAACGACTAACTTGAACCAGTAGGACAGCCAGCCAATTACGACACAGACTGAGGCACACGCAGAATAATGACCTCATGTATATTTTTCCCTTTCTGATTAAAAAAAAAAAAAAATCTATTTAAGATCATCCTCTCAAAACCTGTGACTAGCCATTTCTCCACTTTGCTTGGCTGAAAGTTCTAGCCTGGGGAACAATCGTTACTTTTCACACGTTGGTCATAGTTTGCCTTGAAACGATCAGTAGAGCCTTGCCATTTTAGTGAAAAAAACAGACATGAGATAAAGAAACAAGCAAAGAGAAAAGAAGCTAGGCTTCCAGAACAAAGGAACAGCCAAACATAAAAATGAACAAAATACTTTAAATGTTTCCTTTAAGTATTACTTTTTAAATGACATTAATGGCACTTAACTGCAAGCAATTAAAACATTTCAATCTTACTATGCAGGGGGTGGTTGAGGGATCATTTTTCCTTGTGTTTGGAAGTAGCAAGATTGGGTCTCAAGACTATGTCTACCCTAAGACACCCAAAGGGACAAGAAGCCCTGAGATGGAAAGATGCCATGGTCCTCTTCGGTAGTCTCAGAAATGCAGGATGTCTATTTTTATAAAAATTGAGAATCAGCTAGACAGAACAGCAAGCCACTGGCATCATGCAAGGCAATAGTTTTGGTATTTTCCCCCCTCTTATCAAAACGAGTTATCACTGAAGTCCCCATAGAAAAGTGAACGTCGACGTCTCAAATTCAGTTCATTTTCACCATCACACCCACCGAGGAAAGCGCACGATTCGCTGGTAAACCATGCAGTGGTTGAGACTGAGTCTCCACCAATGCAGCCAGGTGCACTCGGGCGACCCGCCCCTGTGAGAAGGACACTACTCAGTGGGCTTCTGTCAGCGGATAAGGTGATCTCCACAGTGTGATGGGTTTGTGGGTTTTTTTTTTTTTTTTTTTTTGTAATGAGAAAAAGCAATTGCACCTTTTAATACGTGTGCTCTGATCCACTTCCAACAAATTCCAGGTGCTCTCGGGTCCCACGGACATTCATTTGGAGCTCAGAAAGAGTAGGTATTACGCACGGAATGGTTTGTATCAAAATTCAAGCTCAGAGCACATGCCAAAACGTCAACTCTAAACCTAGTTGCAGTTAGTTCCCAGCTCACCAGCGAACAGCGCCCCCCACCACCGTGTGACATATCACGGATGGTAAGTTGAGGAAACCTAAAAGACACAACTGCTCCTGTCGGAGGCTGGCCTAAGGAACAGCTGCCCTTGTCTAGTGTTGTGCCAGGGCAGCGCTGCACGGTGGTACTGCATCCACCTTCCCACCTATGGTGGAACCTGCCACGTGCACCTGCTTGCTGTGTGCAGGAGCGCACGCCCCCGGTGTGTCCTCCGGCTGCTATCTGAAATGAACCTCTTGTTCTTTGACTCATTTTGGCAGAGCAAGCTTTCAGTCGTTTATGGCACAGTGAAATATATTCTTCAATGCTATGTAATTTTGGACTAACAAGAAGTCTGTTTAAGGCACGTGTCTCAGTGTGAATATATATATATATATATATATATATATTTAAAAAAAAAGAAAAGACCACACAATGCTTAGTCCAAGTCCAACATCTTTGACGTTTAGTTTCTGTCTTCAAGTAGCGAGTTGTTCTCAAGCTCCCTGTCTTTGGTGTCTGTGGGTACCATTCCGTTCTCCAGCTCAGCCTGAGGCTGGATGCACTCGGTCAGCATGGCTGTGCTGGAGTTGTCTGAGTTACACATCTTTTCTGTCTCCTCCTCCTTCTTCTCTTCATCCAGAGAGTAATTCCGGAAGGTCTTGTAGATTTTCTGAACATCCTCAGGCAAGGTCTTTTTGAGGTCTTTGTTTTTCCTCTTGGTGAGTTTGGACGTGGACCCGAACTTGTTGATGATGTTGTCCTCAGAGGCCCCTTGTCCGTGCTTATTGAGCTGCTCCGACCCCTTAAGGCGCAGGTTGTTGGGCCGGTTGTTGATGCTCTCCTGGGACGAGGCCTTGAAGCGGCCGCTGTCCAGGGCGGCGAAGACGGAGCGTTTTTCTGGAGACAGCATGTCCAGCGAGTGGGCCCGCTGGTCCAGGCCCAGGCGCCGGCGCTCCATGCTGCGGATGGTGGCTGCCCGCTGCAGCTTGTCGTGGATCTCCACGCTGAGGCGCCGCCTGGTCTCCCGGAACTCGGCCGTCACGTTGGCCTTCCACTCGGCTGCGTGGGCCTTGATCTCACCGACCTGGCCAAGAGACGGAAGAGCATCAACACGCTGAGAAATTCCTCTCCTCCGGGGGGGGGGACCCCCAGCACCCACAGCCCTCGGGTGTCCCCAGGGGGAGGTGGTCTCTGGGGAGCCCAGAAGGGGGTAGAGCATATGCCCAGGGAAAGGGACCAAATGCAACTTCTGCCATAGTCCTTTTTGCCACCCAAATGCCCACCACAAATTGGCTAGAGACTAAAGTGGCTCTAGGAGGCACATGGGGAGAATCCAAAGGACGCCTGAGACTGGGAGATGGTGGCTGAGTAAGAGGTGACAGCATTTTGGAGGAGAGGCTGATATATGGGGTTTCTAGTCATGTCTCCCAACTTTTAAAAAATTATATGGCCTCCTTCCTCGCACATAAGCAAAGGTGATCAAATCTAACTCTCTTTACCCAAAATAAGGAAATGTGCCTAACTCAGTCCTGGACCCAAAAAAAAGGTGCTGAGCAAGACCTTTATCCTTCCCTGTCCTTCCAATATCTATATCTGGGTAAGATGAGAAACTCATCCCAGTTTGCCTGGGAGTGTCCTGGGGAAAATGTGATAGTTGGTTCTGACCCTATATTTGGTCAATGCATAGGCTTCCGGGCTTGCCCTGGCTGAAGAAGACCCTCCTGGGCAAATGGTGACCAAATTTCCCTGTTCAGGGTGCAGGAAAGGGGACCTGTTTTGCCAACGTCCACAGAACCTATATTCTTAGAAAGTGAAGTTTTGCCAGAGGATCAGCACCCAAATTTCTTGGCCTTTCATCAACAGGGCAGATGGTACTTGTCCCATCCTTCCCTATAGAGATAAGTGACTCAAATTTTTGCATTTAGGAAAGTCAATATTTATGTCATTCCCTCCTCTTTGGTTAGCTGATCAGTTAGCCATCTGGGGAATCAGACTGCATTGACAGTGTTTATGCAGCCAGGAAAAGGAACATGTGGGCCCAGGAAGGAGAGGGGAACTTTCTCCTTCAGCAACTTTCTCCTGGGGCCCTTTATGTAGAAGGAGGACAACAGTTCCCCTTAAAGGCACCATCCCTCTCTTGCTCTGTCTTTTCTTCTCTCTCCCTTCTTTCATTTAGCTCTTTCTTTCTCCTCCATTTGTCCTGCTTTCTTATTTCTTTTCCTCTGTTCTTGGAGAACTACATGATTTTTTTTAAAGCCACAAAATTCATCTTTCCTTTTCTCACTTATGTGTGGGTTCTCACATAAATTTACAGGAGTAAAGACTGTGCCAGTGGCCATAGGGATAAATCTGTCTCTGTGGGTCCAACAACTGGGGCAGACACAAAAGACAAATGAAAGGGGACAGCTGGTTCCACTTCCCCATGGCAGGCCACTGTTGGACAACTTTGGTCTCATAGAAAATGGACCCAGAGACACCTGGGCTGCACTCCCACACCGACCTGAGCCCTGAAGGACAGGCCAGCTCTCCTAGGCTCCTTATGAGTCTGATTTGCTGAAAAGGGACAACTGCACATCTCCCTCTGCCTGAGTCTGCTTTAATTTACTTTTTTCCCCCCTTTTCATTTACCTTTTTTTAAAAAATCAGTTGTTGTTTACAAGAATCCCTAGGGTTCATGGACTGGTAAGGAATCACCATATTTTCTCAGTTGCCAAAAGAAGGTTCTCGAAATAATGGCTCTTCTAGTCAATTTGAGGTAAAGATTCAAAACTGGAAAGCCTTATGAGACCTGCCTGGAGCCAAGGACCCTCTAACCCACAGAGAGGAGGCAGTTCCTGATGGCAGCTAATCTGATGTCAGGAATACTTGTAGTTTGGAAAGGGGGGCCTACCTCTTCTTTTGTCTTTTTGGATAGAACCCGCAGCCAGTCTCCGATCATACTGAGGACAGCTGCAAAGTAGGCAAGGCCGACCAGGATCCAAAACCACACTAGGGGCTTATACCACTCCCGGTAATTGATGCCAGCGTTTCCCCCTGAAAACAATCAAGCGTTACTTTAGCCATCATCTAGCATTTGGTCTTTGCAGAACAAACGTATCCAGCCCATGCGGCAGAGATGCTCTGACACCATCATATGACACTCAGCAGTTAAGCTTGCTGTATAACTGAAGGACAGCTGTGGGTCCCTTCCCCAGGACAGCCTGACTTGGGTCTCAACTTTGATTCTTGATCACCAACCTTAATACCTGTAGCAGACAAACGTCAGCGGCCAACTTGACCCTCCTCTTCTCCACCTGAGCATGGAGGATGAATGACTTCAGCCTAAGGCACCTCAGCCCAGACGCAGTTGTCATTCTTTTCTTTTACACTTCTCTAAATTTATTTTAATAAAAATCAAATAATCCTCAAATGATCCCAGGTGGTTTTGAACTCTTAGAACCATTTCTATCTGAAGTGCACATGAATCTACCAAGAGATGGGTGGAATTAGGCACCATGGCCTTGCGGAGGCTTTGATCTTCGAATTAGCGATTTAATGCTAAGAGATGGTGTTTACATGATGCTAATCCAAAGGGTCAATTAGGCTGAGCAATTAGAATCATCATAAACTCAAACTAAAAGGGACCTGTGAGGCCAGCTAGTCCAATCCCTTTATTTTATAAATAAGGATTACAGTTAAAAATCCATCAAACCCAATTGGCCAGTTGCCTGATGGTATTGACTAGCTGTTTCATTGAAAGAACAAGTCATTTATTCCAAATAATTAGCCCATTTATTCCAGCCTTCCTGCAAGCACTGTTGAGGGCAGCTGTGCAAAACAGGCTCCAAGCCCAGCCCACTCTCCTAAGGAAGTGAGGAAGCTCAGTGGAATGACTGACAGCAGCCTGGTTCTCACTCTCGGCAGCACTGTTACCCAGCAAAGCAGGCAGGAGCTGTTTCCAAGGTGACAGGTACTAGCAGTATGTTAGGAATTACAGTATTAGGTGATGAGTGATTGCTAGGCTTTCCAATTGTCTCCTTTGTGACCACATCTATCACCACCTACAGGTGGTCAGACACTAGGCCCTGTGGTTCTTCTAAACCCGCTCAGACCCACACCGCAACGCAGCCCGAAAGGGATTGACAGCTACTGCGGAAGCACATGGCAGAAGGAGGGAAGGAGATGGGAAGCACACCTCCGGAACAGCAAGCTTTCTTTTATTCTGCAGTGAAGTCTACCCATCAGGCACAGGAAGGCTGACTTTCTAAGTGTGGAAATGGTCCCCGGGTTACAGAAGGAGTCTGGGTTTTATAGTTTACAATAAGGTCTTGAATTAATCCTTGGAGATTGCGGATGTGCCATTTGGACAGTCAGGGACCTAGTTGTTCAGGTTAAAATTTTAACTCAGGAAAGCAGTTGTAAAAAGTTTGAAACTCCTTGTCCCTGGGAAGGACTCACGACTCGGTGTTCACTGTTTATTGTCTTCCTCTGGACCCACTGGTACCTAAAGCTTCACTATTTGCTTTTCTCCTTCCAGGACTCATCTGCAATGGGAGAGGGCGAAAGTCCAGGGCCCAGTGTTTCAGTATTCACCCACTCCCTTTAGGACCCATTGTGGTTGGGAAGGGGTGAATGTTTGCTTTTGGTGGAGGTGCTGGGGCTGAACCCAGGAAGGGGTGAAAGTTGGCTTTCTCCCTCAGACCCATTGTTACTGGGAAAGGATGTACTGGGAGAGGTTTAACTAATTTCCTCTCCCTCCTGCCAAGCCACACTGTCCCTCCATTTTCCCCAGGGGGTGGGGGCTGTCTTGTAGGAATATTATTTTCCATAACCCTTTAACTACCACCTCCTAAGGTGAGAAATTCACTGCCTCAGGGCTGTGTGTCCAGTCCCCGGTCAGCAGCTCTCCTCGCAGCTTTCTTTAGGATACAATCTGAGTTTCTATAACATTGAGTGATTTTTGAGGTTTCTTTTGTTTCTGTGCTAAAAAGCTATAGCTTTCTCCTTTGGGCTGAGAGTAAATATCTACCTTTCCGAGTCACTATTGCCCAACCCAGGGTGTCCCCAGAACAATGCAGGAACCACCCTTCCCAGATCCTTTCATCAGCTCAGTGGGAACTTGAAGTTTGGTGTGTGCTCCCAGTATGTCCCTGGGCTGTCCCAGAGTGGGTCAGCTACAAAATAAACCAGCTCATTCCTGGGTGGTGGAGGTTCTGATTACATGTGACCATGTCAGATCACTGCAACTCTCAACGATCAGTCGTGAATATTGTTTTCAGGATTGAGCCGGCTTCCCTGTCACTCTCAGAGTTACAGCTGGCCCTCCGAATCTACGCATTATGTATCCATGGGTTCTACCAAAAGTGGATCAAAAATATTTGGGGGAAAAAATTTGCATCTGACCTAAATACGTAGACCTTTTTCCTTTCATTATTCCCTAAACAATAGAGTATAACAATCATTACATGGCTTTTACCTTGTATTATGTATGGCAAGTCATTTAGAGATGTTTTACATGGCTTTTACATTGTATTATGTATGCCAAGTCATTTAGAGATGATTTAAAGCCTATGGAAAGGTGTGCATAGATGGAATGCAAATGCTATGCTGTTTTTATGAAAGGGACTGAAGCATCTGCAGAGTTAGCAACTGCAGGGGTCCTGGAGCCAATTCCTGTGGATGCAGAGATGACTGTATTCATGAAAGGATAGTGAGATGTGTGTTCTCCATATTGGTCTATGTAAGCCCTGGAAACTGGAACTTAGAAAGACCTGATTTAATGACATTCAACACTGTGAATGATTAAGCACCTGTTCTGCAGAAACAAAGGAAATATGGCTCTGTAGTCACTGATAAGCAAGGACATTAAAACCGTGTGGATGCCCAGGACTGTGTAGGTTACACACATTGCTCAGTCCAAGTGGCTAGTAATTCATATCTGAAGAGCATCTGTATCAAAATCTCAACCCTCCTCAGGATCTGCTATTTGTGCCCTCAGGTTAACAGACTGAATTGAGCTAACTGCCTAGAGAGAAAGGTTCATCACAAATATTTGATAATACATAGTCCTCGGGACAGCCCAGTGGTATCTGAAGCACAACCCATTGCAAATTATGCTTGGGGATACTTAAAATACTTTTGAAATACTTCTAAATTCCATCTGTCCTTACACAAATGTACTTTAGATTGGAACCTCAGTTGAATTTTCCCATGTTCCAGCTATGGATGATGCTAAGAAATTATACTTAATACACCTACAATTGTTCCTGTTACTTTTCTCAGTTTCTCTGTGTAGTTTCTCTCCAAAGCTTAGGGCCTCTAGTCAGCAGTGCTTGAGCATTATGCACAAGGAAAGATTGCCAGGCTCCAGGCATTCTGTAATTTTTTTTTTTTTTTTGTACTGAGGATTGAACCTAGGGATGCTTAACCAGTGAGCCACATCCCCATTACACCAGTTTTGACCACTGAGCCATATCCTCAGCCCTGTTTAGTATTTTATTTAGAGATAGGGTCTTGTTGAGTTGCTTATCACCTTGCTAAATTGCTGAGGCTGGCTTTGAACTCAAGATCCTCCTGTCTCAGCCTCCCGAGCTGCTGGGATTACAAGTGTGTGCAACCACGCCCAGCCCCCAGACCCTTTTTATTTTTTATTTTGAGACAAGGTCTTGCTGAATCGCTAATTGAAGCTGTTCTCAAACTTGCAACCCTCCTGCCTCAGCTTCCAGAGTCACTGGGATTACAGACATGCACCACTGCCCCCAGCTCTGTAAATAACTTTTAATCGCTTTGACTTTGCTAATTCCTCACCTATAGCCCATAAAAAGGAAAGAGAGGAAAACACTACCATTTCTACAAAGTGGGCCTCAGTCTTCATCTGCACAGTTGGAGCTGTCAGTTATCTATGTTGTAAAATTAACATGGAGGCACCCATACTCCTGTTGACCAGCCTCCAACATTTCTTACCAGATTCCCATAGACTAGTTACCCATCCTCCTTACATTCACTACACCACATGGAGAATTCAAGGCACTGATGGGAACACACACCAGACAAAGTACAGCCTGCCTGGGAGCTCAGCCTCCAAAATGTGAAGGCTGCTGCTGACCAGGAACTGATCAAAGAAACATGCACGCACGCGCGCGCACACACACACACACTCTGCCCAGCCATTTCGAACTTATGATGGCACTGTTTGATCAAAGCATTCAATTCTTGAAGTAGAAAATGATCAATTGTTGGGCTGGGGTTGGGGCTCAGTGGTAGAGTGCTTGCCTAGCATGTGTGAGGCACTGGGTTCAATTCCCAGCGCCACATATAAATAAATGAATGAAATAAAGAGGTCCATCAACAAATAAAAAAAAAATTTTTAAAGAAAAGAAAATGATCAATTGTCTAAACATCTAGAACCATACCCACAAGGAAGAAGGAGGAGGTGGAATAGAAGCCTCCTGGTATTCCTGCCTTCCTACCACACCTTGGGAAAGCACTACGAAGCCAAGTCTTGATTCATTTTTAAACTCCCCATCCCTGGGTGAAATTGATGGTGGTTTTCTTTCACTCCCTCAAATGTAGTTCATTGACTTCTATTTTTACAATGAAGATTAAGGAATAAATTATGCTCCCTCTAGACAGTGCTCATCTCCCAGCCCTAAATCTTGCACATGAGCATACCCAGAACGACTTCTCCAGAGGCAGCGGTTCTCATGTCAGTATCAGGAAGCTCAGCCTGCAGGTCACTCCATGCTAACTTCTCTCAAGTTTCATATTTGCCTTGTGAAAATACAGCCTTCATGAGTTGATTCAAGCTCCCTTAACAACACTGATAGGACCTAGATTCCTGAGAAATTCATTCTGCTCTTGCATAATTCATATATGGGCACTAAGCATCCCAAGAAGAAGGAGGCTGATTTTCTTTTCTTCTGCCGCCAAGTGTGGTGGTGCTCGCCTATAATCCCAGTGGCTCGGGAGGCTGAAGCAGGAGGATCATGAGTTCAAAGCCAGCCTCAGCAAAAGCGAGGTGCTAAGCAACTCAGTGAGACCCTGTCTCTTAATAAAATACAAAAAAAGGGCTGGGGATGTGACTCAGTGATTAAGAGCCCCTGATTTCAATCCCTGGTACCCACCTCCCACCACCCCCCCCAAAAAAAAAAAAACCCTCTGTTCTTTACATCACATAGGACAAAGGGGTTTGAAAAGAACCTGTGCCCAGCAGTGGTGACATGGAATCATTTTCATTGGCTTCTCCGCAAATATCCGCTATTGTGATTTTTAAAAACACAGATGATTTTTTCCCACCAGGACCCCAGTGACTGGGATGCCCAGGGTGCTTACCTGCCACAAAATCACCAAATCCCACCGTGGTCAGAGTGACCACCACAAAATAAATGGATTCCAAGGCCGTCCATCCCTCGATATATTTAAAAATGACAGCAGGGATCGTCACAAACACAACACAGCCAGCCAAGATGAACAGGATGGTTGAGATGACCCGGATCTTGGTCTGACTCACTTGCTTTTTCTAGGAAGAGCAAAGGAGAAATACCGATAGGCAAGTCAGTGGCTTCACCCTAGATTCAGAAGACAGATGCACAGGTCAGTGGCTTTTAAGCTTTCTTCAATCATAGGCTGCTCTGAGGGAAGCTGGTGAAAGCTGCGGTCTCTCTCCTAGAAAAACACACAAGTTTTCAGGTGATCCAGCAGGATCTGAGGCTCCTCAAAATTGACGCCTTTTTTGCACACCAGGTCACGCTTAGTTCACACTTTGAATTCTCCTTTCATGATCCTACAGTTGCAGCCCAGATACTGATTCTCTCTTCCTCACTAGTGCAAACACAGTTCTTTCTCGAGAAAGCCTTGCTGCCATGCCTCATGGGGCATCACTGACCCCTCCCTCAGGGAGAAAGGGGGAGGGGGATGGAGCTCTTTCCACACTGGCAGTGATGGATTACGTCTAGTTTTCCTGACTAGTTTTTCAAAGAATATGCTGGGGGAAAGAAAGACCTGATTGGCTTATGAGAGGTAATGGGACGGTCGCCAACATTCTTCACCAAAAAAAAAAAAAAAAATGGAATCAGGCCCACTAAGTGTTTGAATGAAAGGGAAAACATAGCCACATCCATCCTCATTTGTGACAACTCAGGCCAAGCACTGGTGTTTTGCAACCTCTTTCCCCACACGGAGGCTGTACACTTATCACACACTTTTGTTTTAAAAATAATTGTTTGAGCTGGTGCTGGGTCCTTCGTGTATGTTGGCCCAGAAGAAACAGGACAGGGCTCAGAATGACAGGGTCACTGTCTAAAGGGGCAGAAGGAGCTTCAGTTCATGGCACCTTTTGAAAGAGTCAGCAGTTTGGTGGCAAACATACTTTTAAGAATGGGAATTAGACTGACATGGGGGGCAAAGGACTCATGCCAGGGGTTGAGAGGTAGACAGACAGACAGCATCACTGGGAAGCACCTCCATGCGCCCAGAACACGGTGCGGCGTTTTGGTGGAATGACCCTCCGGGTCTTTTCCAGACTCTCAGAATTGGTGCTGAAGATTGTCATCAGGGGTCCTTGGAACCACACGCTGTCATAAATAAATGAAATATATGTTTAACGGGTGCATAAAGAAAATGTGATGTATATATACACAATGGAGCTTTATTCAGTCATAAAAAGGAGTGAAATTATGTCATCTGCTGGAAAATGGATGGAACTTGAGAGCATCACGTTCAGCAAAACGAGCCAGACTCAGAGAGGACTGTGTGTCTGCTCTCACAGGTGACGCTAGAGAGAGAAAAAAAAAAAAAAAAGATGAAGGGGGATCTCATGAAATTAGAAGGAGACCAGAAGAGGAGAGGAAGAGGGAGGGGGAGGGAAAGGGAAGACACTGGGGAATGGAATTGACCAAGTTCATGTTACATGCGTATCTGAATATATCACAATGAATCCCACCATTACGTACAATTATAATGTACCAAGAAGAAATTAATTTTAAGAAGAAATGTATGTTCAATACCAGAGTGCATGGTCTGTCTATATTGCCTAAATTGATTTTAGGAAAAGCAACTGCACTTGGAGCTATCGACACAGGAAATCTTTATCAAACCGTCTGCCTCCTATTCATGGCCTTCTGGTGAGTCAGAAGGCCAAGAACCACATAGCAGAAAAGCTTGCACATTCAGGTACTTCACTTTACTGATGCAGAATGAGTGCCCACAGGGGTTAGGGGACTTGCATGAATATGCTGCTGCTACAGAGAGACAGAGCTAAGATTAGAATTCTGGTGGAGCTAACCCTCAGTCTGGTGCACAAAGATGGAAACAGTTTTCCAAGTTATTCAGCAACTCGGCAAACCAAGCCAAGCTGGGCTCCCTCGCACGGGACACCAGACTCACTCACACTGAAGAGCAGGCCACCCCAAGCCCCTTCTGGGAAGGAAGACTGAGAGTAAGAACTAGCCACTGGGTGATCCGTCCAGGAAAGTCAAAGAAGTATACAAAGGAGTCATGCGCTTGGACTCCTGGCAGGGTGCTCAGTCTATCAAATGGGATCTGTACTCTTCCACTGCCCCCTCCTCATCTCCTCAAAAAAGCCACACTAGAAAAAAAAAATCACAATCTGTTGATGTTGTTGGAACTGCATATGAAAATATCAATTTTTTTCCACACATGAAAGAATCGTGACAAGATAAATTACCTGAGCACCATATGGAATGTTCTGCCCTCTCATGAATTTCCATATCAGATACTAAGGCAGGGCTTTGTGAGGGCAGCTGAGCCCCTCTGGGGACCCAGGAACTTATTAGGCTAGTTTTGTTTGTAAACATGCAGGCAAAGTTCAAAGCCCAAAAGGAGGCTGCACCGTAGATCATTAAGCTCATCTAATTGCTGGCAACGGGAACATCAACGTCTCCCCTTCTATAAATCGCCCTCCTCAAACGCATAATGAAATTAAAGTGAATTAAATGTTTGTGAGACGCTTGTTAAGTCATCAATTAGGATGTGAGTGCAATTGCAAGCTAAATGAGGTTGAGATTGGCAAAGAAGGGCTTGAAGCGCACAGGAAGCTGACGATCTGCCCGGGCTTCCTCAGATAGGCCAGGGAACGACAGTGACTGGCCAGAGTGGGTTTGATTGGAGGAAGAGAAAGTGTCACCAAGGCTAGATAGATGCTGGTGTCTTGATTGCAGTGTCTACTGGAGAATTGATCAGCAAGGTGAACACTTCTCTGCTCACCACCGGAGCCAACCAGTGTGTCCCTGGGCTGCTTCTCCCAGGTACCCAAGGGTGATGCTCAGAAAATGCTTGGAGCATTTTAATTATCTGGGGTATTTTAAATGTCTTCATGTTTGAGTCCGCTTTTTCACTGCTGGGACCCAAAGACCCAACAAGAACAACTTAGAAGAGGAAAAGTTTATTTTGGCTCACAGTTCCAGAGGGTCAGTCCGTGGTCTCCTGACCCTTGCTCTGGGCCAGAACAAGGTGAGGCAGAACAGAACATCATGGCAGAAGGGTGTGGCAGAGAAAAACAGCTCAGAACATGACAAGACAGGAAGCAGAGAGCTCACACCAGGGACAAAATGTAAACCCCAAAGGCACATCCCCAGTGACCTGCTTCCTCCAGTCACACCCTACCTGCCTACAGCTACCACCATAGAGTAAATCCATACCAGTGGATTAATCCGCCAATTTGGTGACAGCTCTCATAACGTGATCATTTCACCCCTGGACATTCTTGCATGGTCTCACACGTGGGCTTTTGGGGAGCACCTCATATCTAAACCATAACAAGAAATAAATATCTCACACCTGTGTAGATGCATGAAAATATGTGTTTCCCCGTACTTCATTATAAAAAGATAATGTGTGGGCATAGGCTTTATCTGTTATTCTGGACACTCTTGCTTTTTCCTGCCCCCCTAGACATTAACAACAACAAAACTGTGGCCTTCATCAAACGTTTTAAAGTGTAGCTTTCACCACAGAACCACAAACCATCTCACGTGTCGTGTTCAGGCCACTGATTCCCATTAGCTCCTACTGTGGAATGGTGTTTGAGAACATGGAGTCGAGGAGCAGACTGCCTGAGACAGTCCTGTCCCTGCTGCTAGAGAGCTGGGTGACTTCAAGCAAGGTGCTCAGCCTCTCTGTGCATTAGTTTCTTCCCCAATAAAATGGAGATAAAAGAACCCAATCTATTCGGGAAGTTTGGAAGATTAAATATGTGTTAAAAAAAATATGTGTAAAAAAGCTTAGCACTGGGTCTGGTAAGTGGTTGTAACAGGCATTTTTATTGTAAAAGCTGGACTCTTGCCTTAGATGTCGGCAGTTCCAGATTAAGTGTTTCTCTTTGCTGCTAAGGAATGTTCCCTCATATCTGACTGAAGAGAATCTCTGTGGAGCTTCAGGAGGTCCATGTTGGTTGTGCCTTCCTGGATCATTATCTTCTATAAGTACCTCCTTTTGGGAAGTCCTCATTCTCCCCTGGTCTGTCAGTGCCAACTCCACATTCGGCTCTCGGACACTCTCAGCTCACCATTCTGGAAGCTTTTGTATTTGTCTTTCAATTTATTTCCCCCTCACTTTTTAGCATCCTTCTAAAACTGCTCAGAATTGAAGTCAATGCCTGGGACATCAGGAACCAGCTGCAGAGGACCCCCTGAGAGACACGGTCGTGCGTGTCCTCTCTGCCTCCCCAAGCCACTTACTAACAGAGCAGGGCTCCCCCCGCACAGTTGCTAAGCAAAACCATGCTGCTCGTTTAACCGTAAGCAGAGCATCCCACAGAACTCTCAGGAGCCCAGATCTAAGAGAGCCAAGGTGTCCTCGGGCGACCATCTTTGTTGTCTGGGTTTGGTATGATATTCAGGCAGATGCGACAGGCTCCTTGTCTCCTGCTGCCCCAATCTTGTCCTCACACACTTTGTTGATTTGGTTAGAGCAGATGATGGGTTCTTTCCTGCTCCCTGCACAAATAATACAGAGCAAAACCACCTCCCATGCCTGACCTACGCTGGCTGTAGGCATTTTGAAGAACTCAAAATCCATCTCCGGGAGAGTTTATTTAGTTGGCAAAAAATATATATATGTAATTATCCCAAGGAGCAAATGACCAGCACTCAGAGGTCCCCTTGGAGAGAGGGATGTAAACATGGACAACTCAAGCTGTGTTTACTCGTTCAGACCTCAGAGGGCTGAGCCACACGGCCAATTATCACCGAGCACAATTCCCTGCCTGTTTGTGTTGACTTAGCCGTTTTATTTTAAAGAGCACAAATATATCTGTTCCTTTGTGGGCTCTTTTTTTTTTTTTCCATTTGATTTGTACTCTTCTCTAGTACTCTCCCCTCTTCGCATCTTTGTGGGATTTCTTAGAATTCTAACATTAACGCTCCAGATGGTTTTGTCTGGTTGAACACTTTGGGGGTGGTGGCTGGGGGAGGGTGTGATTTTCAGTCAGGACACTGGAGAGTTCATATTCAAAGACACAGCAATAAAAATCCTAGGACAGGAGCTAGAGAGGCAGAGCCC